TTCTTTGTGTCCAGAAGGACTATCTGCCCGTCGAGGAAGGGTAAATCCCTTCGATGCTTATCGGCGTTACGGCTAGCGACCGTATTTGCTTTTCGGATAAAGTCTGCTGCTTTGTCACGGGCTGCCTGTAGTTCCGTGACGAATTGCTGGGACCGGGGGACCGGGTTGTCAGGGGTCGTTGATGAGGGTACCACGGGGTCCATCCCGTAATTTAGGAAAAATTGCGATTGGTTGGTCGTGGCGGAGGGTGCGTTGTTAAACGCGAACTCCAGCATGGGAAGTGAGTCTTCCCATTTTGCCATGTCGGGGCAGTTGGTCCGTATCAGCTGCTCCATGGTCTGATTGGTTCTCTCTGTCTGACCGTCAGTTTGCGGGTGGTAAGACGACGAAAACTGCAGGCGCGTGCCGTACTGTGCCCACGTCTCCTGCCAGAACTTCGACGTGAATTTCGGGTCTCGATCGCTGATGATCGCCGAAGGTAACCCGTGTAGGCGTACGACGGTGGAGATGAACAGCTTCGCAGTTTCTTCGGCTGTGATCGTCGTGCGGCATGGTGCGAAATGTGTCATTTTCGTTAGTCGGTCGACGACGACCAAAACCGAGTCGTTGCCGCTTGCGCCAGCTGGCAGTCCCGTGACGAAATCCATCGTCACTTGTTGCCACGGTCGTCCGGGTGGCTCGAGGGGTTGCAACAGTCCAGCTGGTCGTTGTCGGGACGACTTCATGGTTTGGCAGGTCGGGCAGGTTGTCACGTAGCGCTGCACGTCTGACAGCATGTCGGGCCAGTAATAATTCCGCTGCAGCAGCTTCAGTGTTTTGTCGATGCCGAAATGCCCGGAGAGGTTAGAGTCATGAACCTCCTGCGTCAGCAACTCTCTTAAGGGTCGGTATGACGGGACCCAAACCCTGTTCGTACCGGTTTTTAGGTAATAAATCCCATGCTGCGTCGTGGCCTGGTGGTGTAGGTTTCGCTTAAAGAAGTGGTCGGTCGTGTAGCCGTGGGTGAATAGTCCCGATAATAGCGGGTTGGAATGGGCGATAAGTACTGCTGCTGTTTGCATTGATGGGCGGTTCAGGGTGTCGGCGATGTTGTTGGCGCCTTTCTTGTACGTGATGGTGTAGGTGAAGTTGGATTCCAGGTAGTCCAGCCACCTGATTTGTCGCGGGTTGAGCGTCGGTTGGCTTCGCATGTACTGTAGTGATTTGTGGTCGGTTCGTATCGTCACGTCGGCTCCCGTTAAGTAGCAGCGCCAGGTTCGAAACGCGTGGACGATGGCATATCCTTGTCGTGAACCGGGTAGTTGCGTTCGGGTGGCTGCATTTTGCGTGACTCGTACGCAATGAGTTGCAGCCCTTTGCCGAAATCCTGTAGAAGGACGGCGCCGATGGCGAAATCGCTGGTGTCCGTGATGACTTCGAACGGTCGAGATGGGTCGGCGAGGCGGAGGGCTGGGGGTGAACTCAAAATGTTTTTGAGTTTGTCGAAGGCCGACTGTTCTCTCTCCCCCCATTGAAAAATGGTTTCCTTGTGCAGGAGGTCGGTTAAAGGTGTGGTCACCCCCGCCATATTGGGTACAAAGCGGCGGACGTAATTCACGAATCCCAGGAAACTCTGCAGTTCGGTGATGTTGGTCGGCGGATTCCACTTAGCGATTGCGTCCACTTTGCGAGGGTCTATTTTAATGCCTTCTCCCGAAACCACGTGCCCCAGGAACTCCAGCTCCGGCTTTAGGAACTCGCACTTAGAGCCCTTCGTAATGAGCCGATTTTGTTGTAAGCGCCGGAACACCTCCTCCAGATCCTCAAAATGTTGTTCTTGCGTCTTGCTGTACACCAGGATGTCGTCGAGGTAGACGATGACTTTTTTATCCAACATGTCCCGGAACACCCCGTTCATGGTCAGCTGGAACGTCGAGGGCGCGTTTGTCAATCCGAATGGCATTACGGTGTACTCGTAACTTCCGTAGCGTGTGCGAAACGCGGTCTTCGGGCAGTCGTCGGCGAACACGCGAATTTGGTGGTAGCCCCCTCGCAAGTCGATTTTCGAGAAGTAGCGAGACCCGCGAAGCTGGTCCAGCAGGTCGTCCGCTCGCGGGATCGGGTAGCGCGACTTTATCGTGACCCGATTCAGCGCTCGGTAATCAATGCACATTCGTAGGCCTCCGTCCTTCTTCGGCGTGAACAGTATTGGCGCTGCGAATGGTGACGTGCTCGGCCGGATAAATCCCTTGGCGAGGAGGTAATCCAGCTGGCTCCTCAACTCGTCGAGCTCCGGTTGGCTGAGTCGCCACTGCGTTCGGACAGTAGGTTGCGCGCTGGGTTCCAACTGTATCTTGTGATCTTCTGGTCGCTGAGGTGGCAAGCCATCAGGTAGGTCATCCGCGAAAATTTCGGGATACTTCCGAATGATGCTTGCCAGTTCCGCAGGGACTGCCTCGCAGAGCTTGTCGATGTCGGCGACTTTTTCGGTGGCTGCTACCTCGTACAGGTGTACGGCGTAGCCTCTGGCCCCCTTGTTGATCGCTCGCCGCATGGTGACGGCATTGACACGTGTTGTCACAGGCTCCGGGTCCGTCCATGTCGGAAGTGTTGTCTGCCCTGTATTTCCTCGCACAGTGCATGCCCCCGTTGTCCAGTCGATCGTTGGATTGAATCGTTGCAGCCAGTCTCGCCCCAGCAGCACATCGCAGCCGTCCAATGTTGTCGCCAGCATCTTCATGCCGAACCCGAAATTGTCGCCACATTTCATCCGAACTTGTCGCGCTTCATCTCGGATCGCCAGCGGTGTTCCGTCCACTAGGCGTGCGTCAATCTCCGGCAGACATCTGTCCAGCTTTACCCCAATTTTTTTGGCTGTTGACAGATTGATGAGGCTGTGACTAGCCCCACCGTCAACAAATATTTTTATTTTATGACCGTTAACCCTCCCTACTGCCAGCACAGGGTGGTCCACGTGTTCACCCACGTTATTCGTCCGATTGCGGTCGATTGCTCGGATCGGTACCACAACTCGGTGTGGATGGTGGTTGTCGGGCGACAGGGTCTCGTCAGCAGGGCGCCCGTCTGCTACTGACTCGCATCTTTTCCCGACCCTTCTCCGTCGTTCCTTTTCCCCTGCTTCAGCTTCGGGCAGTCTCTTTTCAGGTGGCCCAGCTGGTTGCATGCAAAGCACGGCCCGATGGGTCGGCTTGGCGCATCCACGCCGTTGATTGTGGGCTGCTGCGTTGATCCACGAAATCGAGGGCCCTCCCGGGAGCTCGATCTCGCCCACTGCATCAGTGCATCCGTTGACTCGGCTTCCCGGACGGCGTCATTAAAGCTGCATGGCCGCGTTCGTCGGACCTCGTATTGAATTTCGTATTTTAGGCCCGCCACGTAACGATCCATCCGCTCCGCGTCGCTCATATCGTCCACTTGGTCAGCCAAGTTGCAGAACGCGCTGGTGTAGTCTTGGACCGAAGTCAGCTGCTTCCAGGCACGCAGCTTCATGCGGGCAGAATCCGAGGCGGAGATGTGCTCGAACCTGGCTCGCAAGGCGGCGCCCCACTCCTTCCATGTGCGTATCGTGGCCGTTCCAAAAATTGAAGCTGCTCGTTGCGTGACAGGTGTCGAGGTCCCGTCGTTCGCACGTGTTGTCCCTGCCGAAGTCCCCTCGGTTTGAAGCGTGCGTCGCCACCATTCCAACGCAGGTCCTCGTAACAGTGAAACTGCAAAATTAATGCGGGTGGCATCATCGCTAATCATCGCAGCATTAAAGAACACCTCCGCGCAAAACAACCATGCAGAAACAGTGACAGACTTGTCACTCGGGTTGAATGGTGGTGGGTTCGTCGGTTTGATCTTGACAGTTGTTGAGGCTGTCATAGTCGCTGGAGTTGTTGCTGCTGCTGATGTCGCTGGTGCACGTGTTGGAACTGCTTGCGACTGTTGCCGTTGTGCCCGCCCTTCTTCTGCAGCATCCATGGAGCCTTCAAGCTCGCTGAAGACGGCCTCGTTCGGCGTGGAGCTACTACTTGCTTCATCCACGATGGGCGACTCCTGGCGCGCTTCACCACGCGCCTGGTGTAGTTCGGCGTTTTCCTTCTTCAGGCGTTCGACCTCCTCAGACATCGTCTGCATGTTGGCCTGCATCGCCCGGAACTGTTGCATAAACTCGTTCAACTCCGCCTGGTCCATATTTCGCAGGCTTCGTCGGACGGGCAGGGGGTGGTTAGCGATTTTTATGACGTTTAGTGAAGGCGCAAACGCTATCGTAGTCGGAGTGAAATAATCGTATCTATTTCACAGGCCGACCGCTTTGCAGCCCACTAAGTCTATCGCTCCCCTTACACAAACTACCCCGGAAACGCGAGGGTAACCTAGGAAAGTAGCTCTGATACCAAGTGTTATGAGTTGTAATGAAGAAGAGTGCGCAGGATTCAATAACGCGGAAGTGATAACAACTACTCACTGAATAATGAAGCCTAGCACTTATATAGCGAGAACTAGCTAGGCCGAGGTTGCGGGACCGCGAAAGGTCAGGAGCAGGTTCGGGGTTGGGAAGACCCGAAGGCGACGCGTTGATGGTTCGGCGGGCGAGGTCAGCGGACCGAGCCTGGAACTCCGAAAGTTGGGGCTGTACGCGTACAGTGTGACTCAGTAAGGAATTGGGAAAATTCCTTACACTAGTTCCTGTGCTCTGACAAACTGTAGTCATTTGACATCGCACACCATTCTACACATCGTATGAAGCACATTGAAGGTGGGTAAGGACTTCACAAAAAGTAATCAGGAGCAGGCCGTCTAGAAGGAGCTCCTCTAGCATCCTGCTTGAGACAAGCAAACATGTAAAGGAAGGAGAGAGCTCAATATAATTCAGAAGAACGAGTGAGAACGCAGCATATCTACCAAGCTATCTACCAAGCTGCAGCCTATCTACTAGTACAAAGCTGCCTGCGACAAAGAGTGATTCCACCCAAGTGACGCCTTGAAATTCCGTAAGTCAACGCTCCTCCCCTTACCTACAGTGCAGTCGCAAGCACGGTGAATATCTCCTCCAAACTCTCATTCCGCGTCTGGCTCGCAGTGCCAGTGCACTGATACCCACATCCCCTGCCGTGCTGGTAAGCCACAGCCCCACCCCTCACCTGCGGTGCTGCCTCAAACACGCGGAACTTCTTCTCCATACTCTCATTCAGCTCCAGAATAGCCGCCACGTTGCCACACCTGCGCTCACATGCCGCATGCCCCTTAACACCCCTACTCTCACCTGCGGTGCTGCCTCAAACACGCGGAATTTCTTCTCCAGGTTCTCATTCAGCTCCAAAATCGCCGCCACGTTGCCACACCTGCAGAGGGGCCAAAAGAGGGTGAGCGCGGGAGAAAGAGTGGGTGAGCGGGGGACAAGAGAGGGTGAGTGTCTCTGAGTATTCTAAGAATGGCACGTCCCTTTAATAATTTTGCACAGATGCTTATACCATTGCATAACATCAACAGCTAGCGCACCCGCGCAATCAGATCTACAACGGTTTCAGGTGCCCCACAGCACCGCACAGCACCCACCCAAGGTGGAAAATACTGGGCAGCAAAATTTCACTCAGAAAAAAATGACATAAAATTCGGTTGCATTTTGAGAAACAAAATGGCAAAATGCAGGCCTAAAAGAAAAGGGAAGGAAAGAAGTAAAGAATTAATTCTGCCTAGAATGTTATGTCATAACATTGCTCTGATCCCTGGAAAAGCATGGCATACGTACACGCCCCAAAATTCTGACCATCGATTTTATTCAAATAGTACGAAATGTATATATATATATATACATAATTTTCGAGTGAATTTTCCCACGCCCAAATAAAAATAAAATAAAAACAAAAAATAACACACACACACACACACACACACACACACGCAAAAAAAAAAAAAAAAAAAAAAAAAAAAAAAAAAACCAAATTGTTCAAAAAGAATCGCGCCGAAATTTTGGCTGCGATTTTTTTGCGAAAATTATAGGAACATCGGCGGATTTTTGCACCTAGAACCCACCCACACGGACAACACGCACCGATAGCAGTAGTTGGGGGCGGACCAGACAGTAACAAGCTGCTGGTTGAACATCCACTTGTACCCCTCCATCACCAGCTGGTGCGCCCGCGCAATCACATCCACGCTGTTGTTGTGGTTGAAGCTGGTTACCACGTCACCGCCGAATAGGTAACCCGCGCCGCGCGGGCTCAAACCCCAGCCGTCGATCTCCTCTGGATCGGACCAGAGCAGATCGCACATGGCTCCGTCGTGAGGCACTTCTTGTTTGCGGTCAATCACTCGGATCTGCCAAGAAGCAAGTGGAGTGGAGAGGGGAAGGAGAAGGGAGAATGCATCAACACTTGGCAGCAGATGGCATCTCCGATTTCCTCTGGGTCGGACCAGAGCAGATCGCACATGGCCCCGTCGTGAGGCACCTCTTGCTTTCTGCCGATCACTCAGATCTGGAAAAACAAGTAAGCAGAGAGAGGGGAGACACTAGTTGACAACAAACGAGCTTATAACAAGGCATGCACACCAGAGAGGAAGGGAGAAGTAGCAATTCTACAAAAAAAGAACGTGTTAAGGGAGTGGGTTGTAGGGAGGAGATGACACAAAGAAGACACTGCCGCCCACCCAGGGCAGGTGAAGAGGGTTAAACAGGTGAAAAGCGATCAGTGCCCTGTGTGAAAGGGGGTGATACTGTGTAAAAGGAAGCAATTACCTGGTCTAGAGAGGTGATGGAGGGCGAAAATTGAAGGGGATAGACATGATAGACACCCTGTGTAAATGGGTGCAATTACCTGGTCTAGAGAGGTGATGGAGGGAGACAGGCCCCCGTGCACACAAAAGATTTGATTGTCCGCCAGGGCTGACAGGCTGGCAGGGGAAGAAGAAAATGGGTGGAAGGGGCAAGTGGGGCAGGTGGGGCAGGTGGGACAGGTGCGAAGAAGTGGGAAGGCGAGAGACCTCCATGCACACAGAAGATTTGATTGTCCACCAGCGCTGACAGGCTAGCAGGATGGGAGACGGGAAGGGGTGGGTGGGACAGGTGGGACAGGTGGGACAGGTGGGACAGGTGGGGAGGTGAGGGGAAGCACATTGGGGCAAATGTGTTTGTCATAAGAAGTGATTGAGAGCGAGTGGTCCGTCAGTGAGTGGTCCGTCCGTCAGTGAGTGGTCCGTCAGATATCAGTGCAATCGCGCCACACATTCACTAATCCATACCTGCCCTGCCCGAGACTTCCATGGACACTCAAAGGCTAACTCAAATGTCACCTCATACAAGATAACCAACTTCAGATTTCTGACTCACCTGAGGTAGTCAAAGACGTCGGTGCAATAGCGCCACACGTTCACTCATCAATACTTGCACGGGACGGTTGCGTGTGCTGATTGACAGCTCACCTCGCACATGGTAACCACACCAACGTACAGGGCTACACACCTGAATACTTCTCACCTGAGGTAGTCAAAGATGTCCGTGTAATAGCGCCACACGTTCACTCATCCGTACTTGCACGAGACTATTGGTGCACTGAACTGAAAGCTCACCTCGCACATGGTAACCACACCAACCAACGTGCTGGTAACAGGGGTAACGAAACAGACTTCCCACCTGAGGTAGTCAAAGATGTCGGTGCAGCACCGCCACGCGTTCACTGATCCGTAATTGTACAGGATGGGACTGATGGTGCACTCACAGATCACCTCACGCACACAATATAAACGGCACAGCTGCCTCACCTGAGGTAGTCAAATATGTCAGTGCAGTAGCGCCACACGTTCACTGATCCGTACTTGCGCAAACACTCATCGTAAAAGCCATACACCTGGGGAGGAGGAAGGGGAGGATGGGAGGGGGGAGGGGGGCGACAAAGGAAAGCGGGACACGAGGATGGAAATGGAAAGTTAGCTAGCGTTGGAATGGCCACAGCAGCAACTTCACAACTCTTTGCGGTAAGAAGAGGAAATTTGAGCGCAAGTTGGGCCACAAGCGACGAGACGAGGAGCAGAGGAGTTGGAGGGAGGAGGCGAAGAGAGGAGGCGAAGAGAGGGAACATGATAGAGCTGGCCTTGAGGGGAGGGGAGATGAGGAGGAGAGGAGGAGAGGAGAGGAGGAGAGGAGGAGAGGAGAGGAGGAGGGGAGGAGAGGAGGAGAGGAGGAGGGGAGGGGAGATGAGGAGGAGAGGAGAGGAGGAGGAGAGGAGGAGAGGAGAGGAGGAGAGGAGGAGAGGAGGAGAGGAGGAGGGGAGGAGGAGAGGAGGAGAGGAGGAGAGGAGGAGAGGAGGAGAGGAGGAGAGGAGGAGAGGAGGAGGGGAGGAGAGGAGGAGAGGAGGAGAGGAGGAGGAGAGGAGGAGAGGAGAGGAGGAGAGGAGAGGAGGAGAGGAGGAGAGGAGAGGAGGAGAGGAGAGGAGGAGAGGAGGAGAGGAGGAGAGGAGGAGGAGAGGAGGTGAGGAGGTGAGGAGGAGAGGAGGAGGAGAGGAGGAGAGGAGGAGAGGAGGTGAGGATGAGAGGAGGAGAGGAGGAGGGGAGGAGAGGAGGAGAGGAGGAGAGGAGGAGAGGAGGAGAGGAGGAGGGGAGGAGAGGAGGAGGAGAGGAGATGGAGGAGAGAGGGGGAGGAGGAGAGGAGGAGAGGAGAGGAGGAGAGGAGGAGAGGAGGAGAGGAGGAGAGGAGGAGAGGAGAGGAGGAGGAGAGGAGGAGAGGAGGAGAGGAGAGGAGGAGGGGAGGAGAGGAGGAGAGGAGGAGGGGAGGAGAGGAGGAGAGGAGGAGAGGAGGAGAGGAGGAGAGGAGGAGGGGAGGAGAGGAGGAGGAGAGGAGATGGAGGAGAGGAGGAGGAGAGGAGGAGAGGAGAGGAGGAGAGGAGGAGAGGAGGAGAGGAGGAGAGGAGAGGAGGAGAGGAGGAGAGGAGGAGAGGAGGAGAGGAGGAGGGAGGAGAGGAGGAGAGGAGGAGGGGAGGAGAGGAGGAGGAGAGGAGATGGAGGAGAGGAGGAGGAGAGGAGGAGAGGAGAGGAGGAGAGGAGGAGAGGAGGAGAGGAGGAGAGGAGGAGAGGAGGAGAGGAGAGGAGGAGGAGAGGAGGAGAGGAGGAGAGGAGAGGAGGAGGGGAGGAGAGGAGGAGAGGAGGAGGGGAGGAGAGGAGGAGAGGAGGAGAGGAGGAGAGGAGGAGAGGAGGAGAGGAGAGGAGGAGGAGGAGAGGAGGAGAGGAGGAGAGGAGAGGAGGAGGAGAGGAGGAGAGGAGGAGAGGAGAGGAGGAGGGGAGGAGAGGAGGAGAGGAGGAGGGGAGGAGAGGAGGAGAGGAGGAGAGGAGGAGAGGAGGAGAGGAGGAGAGGAGGGGAGGAGAGGAGGAGAGGAGGAGAGGAGGAGGGGAGGAGAGGAGGAGGGGAGGAGAGGAGGAGAGGAGGAGAGGAGGAGGCGAGGAGAGGAGGAGAGGAGGAGAGGAGGAGAGGAGGAGGCGAGGAGAGGAGGAGAGGAGAGGAGGAGAGGAGGAGAGGAGGAGAGGAGGAGGGGAGGAGAGGAGGAGAGGAGGAGAGGAGGAGGGGAGGAGGGGAGGAGAGGAGGAGGGGAGGAGAGGAGGAGAGGAGGAGAGGAGGAGAGGAGGAGGCGAGGAGAGGAGGAGAGGAGGAGAGGAGGAGAGGAGGAGGCGAGGAGAGGAGGAGAGGAGAGGAGGAGAGGAGGAGAGGAGGAGAGGAGGAGGCGAGGACAAGAGAGGAAACATGATAGATCTAGCCTTGAGAGGAGAGGAAGTGGACTGGGGAGCGAGATTGTTGAGAGGAAAACGCACCTGTGTTATTTGCCGGCTCTCGTGGTTTCCTCTAATAAGTGTGATTCTATCAGGATACCGCACCTGCGCAGGAACCAGCCAGCACAGAGACCAGCATAAAACATAAAACATTAAAATAAAAACACACAAAATGTTCTGTCCGACCGCTGCCCGCATGTGGGAATGTTCTTCAGCAGAAATAAACCGATAAAGACAGAAACTGATTGCCTTGGTTGCTGCTTCTGCATCAGAAGAACTTCAGAAACATTAGAAACCTGGCTTGTAGTTACCCTAATTGCGTGACCGCACCATTAGATTTTGTGACATCTCGAAACTACCAGTTATCGCCTTTACTTACCACGGCACTTACCCGAGCATGCAATTACCCAGAGTTACCATCGCATAACCACAGCACTTACCTTGAGCGGTAGGAGGAGGAGAGAACCCCCCCTCCCGAAATCGCCCATAAGTCGACTTTTGAGGCGGCTCAAACACACCACTGCACACACACAGCACACTCCTTGAGAGCTACTCAGAGCCCAGGGTTACGACCTCACCTTGAGCGCTAGGAGAAGGAGGAAGGTCTCAACGGAGTAGAATCCCCGGTCCACGAAATCCCCCATAAAGAGGTAATTCGTTTGTGGACAGTCGCCGCCCACTTTGAAGAGCTCCATCATGTCGTAAAACTGCCCGTGAATGTCGCCACAGAGCTGCAAGGGGAGGTCAGGGAGGGGTGGAGGAGAAAGTGGGGAAGGTGTTACGGTTGGTACCAGAACGGCTGGCAGATGGGAAGGGCGGGGATAACACAAGGCCCCAGTTTGAAGAGCTCCATCATGTCGTAAAACCGCCCAGGAAGACTTTTGAGTCGACTCAAAAGTCACCTTTTGAGTCGACTCGAAGGGTGGGGATAACACAAGGCCCCAGGTTGAAGAGCTCCATCATGTCGTAAAACCGCCCGGGAAAATGGGGGTGGGGGCGGGGGGTAAAAATTGATACCAGGGGTTAGCAGGGAGGGAAGACGCCACGGGTTCCCACTTCAAAGAGCCCCATCTTGTCGTAAAACCGCCCGTGGATGTCGCTACAGAGCTGTGAAAAGGGGGAGGCGGGGGAGGCGGGGAAGGAGGGGGAGGAGGAGGTACTGTTAAGACCAGGTGGTTTGGAGTCAGGGAAGACGGCACAAGGCCGCAGTTTGAAGAAGTCCATCATGTCGTCAAACTGCCCGTGGATGTCGCCACAGAGCTGCAAAGGGAGGGGAGTGGGGGAGTTTGGTGGTGGGGGTACAGTTGACAAAGACAGTTGCTCTCCCCCACCACCTGATTACAGTTCACGACACGCTCAGTAACCGTTACACGCTCTGTTAGACGCTCAGTAACTGTTACACGCTCTATACACGCTGTGACTGCACGTTAAGAGCTAAGGCTACCTCGCGGAAACATGCGACGAGAATTCAGTACCGTTACAGGAGAGTCGACTCGTTGCACGTTGCTCTCCTCCACAAGCCCCTCCATGGCTTTCATGCACGTGGTTACTGTTGTTTGCGAAGATCTGCGAAAAAAAACTCTTACTGTTACAGGGGAGTCGACTCGTTGCACGTTGCTCTCCTCCACCAACACCTCCATGGCTTTCATGCACAGCGCTTTCACCTCCGACTCCTTCAAAGGCTCGCATCGCCTCAGCTGCTCGATCTGACGGTCCAGATCCGACATCACGCCGCTCATCGCGCTACCCACTGATCGCGGTCTTGGCGCTCCTGCGCGTAGCTTCGAGAACGTAACGAAATCTTCGAAATCTCCTCGTTCGACGTTCGCTTATCTTCGCCCGCTATCGCAAAAGTGTTCGTCGCCCTATCCAGTTCCAGTGTCTTCCTAAGTAGGCGCACCAATTCACAGGTGAATGGCCGGGCTCCAAGTCACGCGAGAACTCCTAACGGTTAAGGTAATGCTGCTGCCGCATAAGGCTTAACCAGGCCTTTTGAGTTGGATCCTAAACCTCGCCGCTCTCCGTTAAGCTTTAACTTTCAAACTCTAAGGAAACGTTGCTACTGCCGCTGGAATTCATACGGTTCTTCTCATTCCTGACGGTAGCATACAAGCGTTATACCGAACCGATGTTGAAGTTAGTGACTGTAACGGTATACCGGGCTCGCTCGCTCCACCAATACGAGTCGCTCGCGTTTCCTCGTTTCTCAACTAATCCTTACTGCGACCCCGCGTGGTCGCCTAAAAGGAAAGCAACTATCTCGCATGAACCAGCCCAGTGGTAAAGTACCTAGTTCGACGTTCAAATGTACGACAAACGATACCCTAGGTGCATCTAGCTTCACCACCACGCCGTCTAATGAGCCGTTCCCAAGGAGGTATTTGGGCAATTCGGAGTGGGACAGGTTCAAGTGACATACACAACTCAAGTACTTCGTTTAGAGGGGTTTTCGCATTGTTACAGGACGGTCTATTCTTGTTTTAGAACGGTTGGGCGCGGATTTCAGGAGTATATATTCCGAGTCAAGCGACAGGCAAGTGACAACTGCAGGGCGTCGTGAATTGCGTGTGCGACGCTCACTCGTGCCACTCCCGTGATTGGCAGACGAAAACCCTTGAAACTGGCTCAGCTCGGCGCGACGACGTCGTCAGAGGCACGTCTTCGCATCGGGAGTGGCGATTCGTCACGGACACACTTCGTCATTGTTGCGAGGACTCTCAAGTGAAAATATAATCGTGGTAAGATAAATCGTTGTAACTTACAACAGAAAATTCTAATAGGGTGGAAACCTGCACTCCTACTGTTACGAGTGCAATTGAGCGAGCGAGCGAGAATTGCACTATCGAAGCAAAACAATACAGTTGAGCGAAAAGCATGAGCGAAGTTATATAGCGAAGCTAGCGTGGTAACGGTAATGCGGGAAATTGGGGTGCGCTACGTGCCTAGCGCCGAGGTTTGGGAATTGTCGAGGCGGAGGTCCGGAGAGCGGGTTACCTACCGAACCGTTTGTTACGAATAGTAATTATTGAAACATTACTGTGCACTCCTCACCGCAGCAAGCGAAGCACGCACTACCAAGGTTGAAGGCGAAACGGCGGAAGTGACACGAAGGGTCGTACGGTTACGAAAGGATCTGGACCGTCGGGCAGAAAGCATCAGGCAGCAGCAGTGGCGAGGATTCTGCCCGGACAGTTTTGTAACTGTCCGGAGTCGCACGGTTGGATTTTGCTGTAATAAGGGAATGTACCCCTTAGAGTACATGGCTAGCTAGGTCGATTGGTATTCCCTTGTAATCTTATTAATAGTGCTGTATTTGCATGTTTTTATCATCTCAAGCATTATGATGTTATAAATGAAGGATCGTAGTGGATAGGATAAAGTTGCCAAGTGTAAGGAAGAGAACTGAGAAGTCTCTGTAATGACATTGTTGATAAATAGAGAGAGAACAAGATGATTATAAGATAGAAGTACAAGAGTATAAATAGCAAGCCTAGCTAGCCATGTACTCTGAGGGGTACATTCCCTTATTAACCGAATTGCATTGCTACAGTAACCCACGACTATTGCCATTCTAGACAGTTACATGTTGCATTTCGCGTAAGTACCAAGTGCGGTTACTGGGCAGTCAAGGGTCACGACCGTTGACTGTCTTCGACTGTTGACCTTCGGGTGACCCTCGATCTTCCGCGTGCTCTATATGAGCTCATGCGGTACTGGTACAAGCATCTGCTTCGCTATGAGGAGACGCGACAGTGGAGAGCCTTCGGGAATGCTCGTAATATCCTTTCGGTTATTCCAACACTCCCCTTCATTCCTGAAGGTGAGCCACGTGGGATTTCTTGGTGATCCCGCAAAGGTTGGCGCAGTGCTGGAACTGTTGACGTGGCAGTTTCTTTGTCAGGAAGTCGGCTGCCATGTCACCAGTCGGGCAGTACGTGAGCTTGACCTTGCCCTTGTCGATTTCGTCCTTGACGAAGAAGTAGCGAAGGGCGATGTGTTTCGTGCGATTCACGAAGCCGGACTTGTTTGCGATCTTGATCGCGCTCTGGTTGTCGCAGAGTAACGTGAAGTGCCCGTTCATCGTTACTTTCGCTTCCTGCAGAAGCTCCATCAGGTACAATCCTTCGCGAACAGCTGCGCTGGCGGCGATGAACTCTGCTTCGGCTGACGAAAGGGCGATGAGTTCCTGCTTCTGAGAATTCCATGAGATGAGTCCAGCAGGTTGAAGTTGAAAAATGAATCCTGTGCGGGAGCGTCTGTTGTCAACATCTCCTGCATGGTCAGCGTCTACGTAGCCGTGCAGCTGCAGGGTGGCCGTCAAGTTAGCCTCGTAGGTGAGGCCGACGTCGGGAGTAGAGATGAAGTATTGAAGTGCGCGGCGTAGATCCTGTAGATTCTCCCCTTCAGGTCGCTTCATGTACTGAGCGAGCTGGCTTGCGACGTAGGAGAGATCGGGCCGGCACGTGACGGCGGCGAACAGGAGGCACCCGAGCTGCTGCTGATAAAGCCGATGATCCTCGAGAGAGAGAGAGGCGTGGTGTCTGGTTCGTGGTTAGGAGGAGGAGTGCGAAAGGGGGTGGAGAGGTTAATAGGTGCGATGCCGAATTTCTTCGCGAGTGTTTCGGCATATTTGGCGGCGGAGAGGTGAATGGAGGAAGCAGACTGGGTGATATTGAGACCCAGGAATTGAGTGACGTCGTGGTTGACAGTGACCTCCAGCTGCTCCTTGATATCCGCTTCGAACTGGTCCAGTAGCTCCGTGTCGTCGCCGGTGTAGAGGAGGTCGTCGACGTAGGCAACGAGGAGGATAAATTTGCCGCGTGACTCCTTCCTGTACATGCCGAGGTCGTGTGGTAGTTGTTGGAAGCCGAGCTTCGTGAGCACGGTGTGAAGGTACTGTTGCCACAGGCGAGGTGCTTGCTTGATCCCGTAGAGGGATTTCTGGAGCAGGCAGACGGCGCCGTCGTTCTCTTCGAAGGCGTGCGGCTGCTCGACGAAGATTATTGCGTCGACCGGAGCGTGCAAGAATGCACTGCCAACGTCGATTTGACGGAGTGGGCGCTGCTTGACGGCTGCGATGCAGATGAGGATCCGCACTGAGGTGTGCCGTCCGACTGGTGCGTAGGTGAGATCGAAGTCCACCAGGTGAGTCTGTTCGAAGCTGCGCACCACCCATCGCGCTTTGTATTTGTCGATGGAGCCGTCCGCCAGTGTCTTGATGCGGAACACCCATTTTCCGCTGAGAATTTTTCTCCCCTTCGCAGATGTCCGGGGAACGAGCTTCCAGGTGCCACGGTTCTTGAGCGATGCGATCTCCTTGGCCATGGCTGCCTTCCACTTCTCACTGTCGGGGCCGGAGAGAGCTTGGCGAACGGTGGTGGGTTCCTTGGGGGAGGTGTGGCGAACAGCGACGGCGAGCCCGAGGATCCGTAGACCAGTTTCGTTGGTCTTTTCGTAGTGCAGGCGATCGTAGTCGTGGAAGCTGGTTACTTCGACCACGTCGTCGTCACTTTTGTTGCCAGGACGGATGGAGTCTTGCGAGGTGTTTGGTGGTGGTAATTCGGCATCTGGTGACTGGCGGGCGTTGCTGTTGAAGTTATGGGCTTCGCGAGTTGTATCATCGGGATCAGGTTGGTGTAGAGGGATGAAGGTTGGAGTTTGGAACGGGCTTGTAAGGGGGATGTTGGGTGCACTGTCAAATTGGGTAACATTTGCTGCATCCACATCTTCCGCCAGGTCAGCTTCATCGTGTGGAGTTGCGAAGCTGCGGTGTCCCTCAAAAACCCTTTCCGGTGCCCTGTCAGCTTCGCGGTGTTCGTTGAACAGTGGCAGAGTCAGCTTCTCGTAGAAGATGCAGTCACGTGATTTCGTTACTTCGTGTGTCGCGTAGTCCAGCACGATCCACGCCTTGTATTCCTTTTCGATCCCGAGATGGATGCCCCAGCGAGCCCGGTCAGCAAACTTTCCAGTTCTTGCTGTGTGAGGCCTGTACTGTACCATGCAGCCGAACACCCGAAGCAGACGCGTGTCTGCTTTTCTGCCCGTCCACGCCCTGTAGGGGGAGTTGTTGTTCTCGAGGCTTCGGGATGACAGCAAGTTGTGCAGCCGGACTGCATGGTTCATCGCGAACGGCCAGTAACGAGTTGGGATGGCCGACTGCTTCATCAGGGCCCTCATCCTGGTGGCGAGGCTCCTGTTTGTCCGTTCTGCTACTCCTTGTTGCTCGTGAGCGTAGGGCAGGGACACCAGGTGTTCAATTCCCTTCTGCCTGAAGAGCTCCTTGAATTCGTCTGAGAAGAACTCCAGGGCTCCGTCCGTCTGCCAGCTCTTGAGCTTAAGGCCCGATTGTCGTTCAGCCCGCTTCATCCACGCGATGAAGCACTCGAAGGCGAGTGACCTGCAGTCAGTATTAATAGCCCAGACGTAGCGAGTGCTTGCGTCGATGAAGGTAAGCGTGTAGGATTCGCCGTCGAGTCCATCCTTCGTCAAACACATGAAGTCGCTGTAAACTTTGTCAAGTGGTTTGTAGCGTTCGTAACCAGGCGGCAGGTCGGGGAAGGGCTTATGGGTGAGTGACGCAGCAGGACACACTGTGCATGGCGGGTCTTCGGAGTCTATGGTGAGGGAACCTCCGCGGGGAAGGAGTAGTGCTCCGTCGTCGAGGACTCCAGCCCGCAGGGAGTTCTTGAGTGTTGCGTGAGAAGGGTGCCCGAGCCGTTGATGCCAGATTTCTGGTTCC